ATTAAACAGGGGGCCGCAGTGGGTCGAAGGGGGCTGTGCATTGATTTTACGTTCCAGCCAGTTGCTGTCAAATAGTTTCAGTTTGATTTAAGCACAGTTTTTAGTTGGAACCTCAAGAGATGAATAAAATTCTAGGCAATTGGTACGTGGCCGGCGAGTGCCGTGCGCCGGGCCTGCTCAGCCCGGTGGAGAGCGAAATTCTGAGCGCCAGCGACAAAGTTGAGTTTGGCGAGGAGGAGCCCGATCTGGATTTGGCCTACGATCAACTGGAGGCCATTAAGCGGCGTCTCAAGCAGCTGCAAGCCAACTTGATCTACCCGCCCGCCGATCCCTGCGAGCTGACAGGCACCAGCCGCACCGCGTCCGAGGACAACGGCAGTCTCACAGACAATCAGGTGATGCTCCAGCAGCTGCGACGCAGCAACTCTAAGCTGCGCTGCCAGCTGCGACTACAGGCGCAGCATCTGCAGAGCTCCCGCAAACATTTGCGGCTGCTGGAGGACATGCGCTGCCAGCTGGGCAACAGGCTGCGCCAGATGAGCGCCCAGCTGGACGAGTTCGAGCAGTTTAAGCGCTCCGCCCAGCACCAGGCGGGCCTCTGTATCGAGCGCAACGAGCAGATCAAGGCGACCAAAATCGATAAACAGAATTTCCTGACGCAGCTAAGTAAGCTCAACATCCATTACACAAACCATATGCGCCTCATGGCGCCCCTGCGCTGCCACAATCAGCTCCGATACGATCTTAGCCTGGACTTGATACTCACGCGCATCTTCCTGCATGCGCTCTTCGGCAACATGGTCGAGGACTGGAAGTTCTGCATTCGCCGTCTCAAGTGAGTACTGTAATCTACTACTATCTACTACTATCTACTACTATTTACTACTTTTATCTATTAATATCTACTACTATCTACTACAATTTACTACTGTCTACTACTATCCACAACTATCTACTACTATCTACTATTATCTACTACTATCTACTACAATTAACTACTGTCTACTACCATCTACTACTATCTACAACTATCTACTACTATCTACTACTATATATTACTATCTACTACTATCTACTACTTTTACCCTACTCTACTTTATACTAATACTATATAATACTATATAATACCACTTCTGCTGCTATTTACTACTAGATTATATACTACTATCTACTACAAAATATACTACTATATGTTAGGATTGTCTATTTATTTACAGAAAGAATTGCCGCGGCGTTAGACTTCGGATGCTGCCTCCCACGGACTTCCCCCCGATCTGGCCCTGGCGTGATTAAAATGTTGACCCAAGTTTCGGTCATTAATTGTTTCCAAAATGTGTTGTGTTTTTCATTCGGCGTTTTATTGGCTGCGTTTTTTGGCTCCAAAGTTTTTGGCATCGTTCTAATTGCTTTTGAAATGTCGCTCAATTAAGATTATTGGCGCTTGGCGGCTTTTATGGCACTCTTGTGGATGAGCCCGCTCGGTCCTGCGGCGCACTCGTAATAATTATAAAATTTTAGCTTGGCGCATCTGAAATTGCCTCAGATTAATGGCGTGCGCTTTTATTTGAAGGCGTTAAAGTTAAAGTAACAATATCATAGCAGGAAACCACCCTACCATCCCGTTCTCGTCCCCGTTACCACATTCTAATCCGGCTTGAAACGCCACACAAATGTACGCATTCCCACCAGGATAAGAAGCTGCAGCTAAATGCGAAATGGCATCAGATAAAAACAAAGCAGATTTGTGTCTCAGACACAGAAAAATACCCTGAAAACCCCTCAAAAAAAAAAAAAAAACAAACCAGAGCCCCTGACAGCCCGCAGCTAAGCCGAAAGGCAGCCCAACACATTGGCATTGACACTGGGCTCCACATCCTTGTGGTGCCTTGTCGAACTGCGTAAAAACTCAATTGCTGCGCATTGGCAGACAAGGAGCACGCGGACACAAACTATGCATCGTGATCGGGTCTCGTTTCAGGTTCCCTTGCTGACAATGCCCGGGGCCAAGGCTACATTGGGTTAAATACGCCTCAGTCCTTCGCCTTCTGCTGCTGTGCTGAGTGAGAGATAGCGCCAAACGGCAAAAGCGAATTTATTGGAGTCATGTCCTGATAAGCGTTCGCTTCAATTCCATGCCAAATTACAATGTTACATGGGCGAAAAAGCGATTAACCGCAGCTAAACGAAGGGCGAATGCCCTATAACAGAGCTGGGCGTGTTTTTTATAAAGTATACCAACATAACTAGACTATATATAGAGCATTTAGAATATCTAGACTTTACATGTAGCCTACTTATCCTCCGCTGATTTCATCACTCAGAGTTGCATTGGGAATATCTGGACTTAATATGAAGTCTACACCGACTATATTACCAAAGTTTTTTCGCTTTCTTTATTGATCGATTCTACAAATACATTTCATACTTATATAGAGGTTGAACCAGAATACTTGTTCAAATTTCATTTGCTTCTCGATTTGAACCAGAATCCTCGTTCATATTTTTTTAATTCATTTGTTTCTTGGTTTGAACCACAACTCTTGTTCCAATTATCCATTTTAATTTTATTTGAAATCAATTCCATATGCACATCTAATATGAGTGCCAAGCGCAATCAGAAAATCACCTTAAACTCCATCGTCGTAATGTAGGGTATACAAACATAGATAGACACATCGAGATACAGGCAACATAACACATCAGACTACATGGCTGATACACAGGAAACGCATTAGATACTTTTCGGTACATACTCCTGGACTAACTGGGCAGGCTGTGTGCCGACTGGGCCGAGCTTGGACGGTTCTGGCCATTGCGGCGGCTGCTGTTGGCTGTTGCGATAAAAATCTGCGTAAAATGATGCGGCAATTTGATGAGCAACTAACTTCGAGCAATTAGTTTGGTCGATTCGTAGTCGGAGGCTGGAATTGGAGTTGTCGTTCGTGTTTTCCGGCTGCTAAACTGTTGCTCCAGTCAATGAATGGCAACTGTTATGGCAGCTGGAACTGGTTGAGGCAACGCATTTAGTGTTAATGTGTTTGGCAACTGTTTCAAGTTTCGGTGATTTATGTGCTAAGTAAAACTAGAAGCTTTAAAGGTATTCTTTGGAAGTAGATACTTATATGGCTCAGGGGGACAAGCAAGTCGTGGCAATGCCCATTTGGTAAAAATTGGAAAGCCTCTAGCCAAACGCTCTGTGACAGTGAAAACGGTGGCAGCGAGTGGGAGTTGTGGAACTCTGCACATTTGCCTTTGGGCTGTTCTTCAGCTGTTTAGCAGCAATCTCAAAGATACATTTCAAGTGCTTAAGTTGCTGCCCAGCCGCAAGAGTACAAATAATTTCCATTTGGCCAAAGGCAGCGCCAACATTTGCATTTATCTTCAGCTCTGCTCAGCAGCAACAAATAGACAAACATGCCTACTGCCAGCTGTAACGTTCCGAGTATTTGTATAGCGAGAGAGAAGGCGAGGGCGTGAGGAAGTGAGAGCGAGAGATATGTCTACTTATAAAAACTTTGTGGACTGGCACACAAGTTGTAGATAAATATGGCATAGATTACATAACTAGTTCTTGCAGCCGAACAATAAAAAGTTTTCCTACTCTCCCATCTCTCCTCCCTCACACACACTCGCTCTCCTTCAATTTAAGCGTTTCTCTATTTTCCTAGACGCTTTTCCTGCGCACAGTTATTTATGATTTTTCTCGTACTCCACACGGCGTCTGCGGCATTCGTGTAGCACATCTGTCCGACCCGGCTGTCAGGGCGCCGTGGCTTAGTTGGTTAAAGCGCCTGTCTAGTAAACAGGAGATCGTGAGTTCGAATCTCGCCGGGGCCTTTGCACTACGGGCAACAAGTTGGTTGACTTTTTTTTAAATTTATTTTTCATTTAATATTTTTCAATTGGAAATTAGCAAATTCGAGTCAGCCATATTTGACATTGGCCACTTATTGTTGTTTCCTTTTCCGCTCCATGTTGCCTTTACTGTTATTATTTTCATTTATTTTCTTTCCTATTGTTGTTGCTGCTTGTTGCATGCCAGCTGACGCACTCGCCCATTAACATGACTTCAATTGCCACAATAATTGTTTCCATTATCGTTAAAATCGGTGAAAATTGCGCCCTGCCATGAACTCAAGTTTTCAGTGCCAGAAAAAAAGCTTCAGCAGAAAAAAAGCTTTGCCTATTTTAGCTTTTTTCAGACAGGTACTTTGGCTATCAGAGCGACAGCTGATAAGCCCAACTATATTTAAAACAAATTCTATTTATTAGTACATAAACGAGGCAAAAGATAATGTAGACAGGTGTGCTTGTGGCGCACATACCCTGTAAAAAGCAGGGTATTTATTAATATTTATAAATATATTTATTAGTTAATTTGTTGAAGGATAATGATTGTAGAATATATATAAAAAAATAAATTATAATTTTTTCTTGGAGGAAAATCTTTTTACTGCACATTTTAAGTACTTATAGACTTGCCTGTAGGTCCAATTTCTAAATGATGTGTTGGATAATAAGCCATTTTTATAGGGTATGAGAACTTTAACCAAGTTTTAAACATATGTTTAACAAAATTGTATATTTGCTTATCTACTTGTACTTTAACTTTTTGCCATCTTGTACCCTATAAATATACCATATAAAATGCCTCCCACTATTTATGTATTATACTTAAGAAGTCTAGTAATAAAACATTCTACTTCTCAGATACTAGAAACAAAGCAACCCACTGTCACATCAATATTATTATCTGCATTGTTTTCCATATCTGTACCAAAAACATTTGAACAAATATTAATTTAAACAATGGACTTCTGAAGTACACAGCTGTCAGAAAACAAGAGAACTCTACAAACAAGTTCTCTCAAGTTGACTATTTTTACCGAGGAAATCACGAGGGCGCCGTGGCTTAGTTGGTTAAAGCGCCTGTCTAGTAAACAGGAGATCGTGAGTTCGAATCTCGCCGGGGCCTGCAATTGAAGAGTACGTGTTCTCTTTCATTTTATATTCTTTTTATTTGGCTACATTTTTGACAACTTGCTAAACGCTAAAACTCTGAAACAGTCCTTAGCCTATTATAATTTCCAACTGGTTTGTGCAGTGGCTTGCCCAGCTTTTGACAAGCTTTATCGAAAGCTTTCACAACTTTCACTCGCAACTAGTCCTGATAGACCAAATACAAGACAACAATCATGAAGTACGTGGGTCGCTCAAAAACCAGTTGAGTAAAATTATCCCGCTTCTCGTCCATCAGATGGCACATCCGCTGATAAATGCCCTGGTTTTGCTTCTCGGCAATCGACAGCAGGCAGACAATGCGATGCCTGTGGATATGTTGATAATGAGGTCATTTGGTTGGCTTTGTGGTTGGCATCGCATAGGATTATGATTTGCAACACTCACCGCCTGTGGTTTAGCTTCTTGACCCGGTCTCGTATCTCCGCGGCCAGACTCTCGGCCAGCTGCAGCGCGCGCCAAGAGTCATAATTGCGACTGAAACGATCCCACAGCAGACGCTCCTCAATGCAATCTTCGATGATTTTATGGGCACGTTCCATATTGAAATTGGTGTGAAAGAATTTCCAATCATTTTTCGGCTTCTCCTTACGCTCGCCGCCCAGCTCGCCGCCCACGCCGCCAGCCTCGCCCTCGCCCACAGCACACTGGAGCGCGCGCCGCCGGCTCAGCATGGACTCCGACAATAGTGCATTCATGCGATTGGTTGTTCGCACCGAGGCGGTAATGCTGCAGATGATATAGTAATCGGAACAGGTTAATTAAGATCTCAGCCATGGCCGGGGCGCACATACCGCGTCTTCATTGTGCTCCAGCTGGACGCGGCCGTAGCGCCCGACATGGTATATACTTAGTATAGTCGGGATTCGATATATTCAACAAGGATAACAAATTCCATGCGCTGCTATCTGCACACTGACAGCGCAGCGACGTCAACAACAATGACGATGTCGGCACTCTGACATGCTGACACGACGAGCAGGTCTATCAGCCTGCCAGACCCCCCCTGGGATCGGAACTTTGTTGGTTTTTGCCAAACTCTTCCGGCTCGCGTGCCGCCTATCATAAGCCCAAAGGTAGGTGCTCCAATTGCAGCAAACGACGACGTGGGTGTCATCGCCAGACGGAGCACAATCAAAAGTGTTGCCATATGGACGCCTCACAACCCCTTTCACGCCCTCCCTCTCTCTCCACCCTACTCTATTGAAGCCTGCATGAACGGCACGCGAAGCCTTTCGAGCCTTGATGAGTTTTGATCGGTTTGTTTGGGACACCTTTTCCGGCGGCACCAAATCGCGGCCATTGTGCGGTTTACGGCCACAGTTCAAGTACTTTGATTGCATTTACGACACTTGGAACTTTCATCTATTCCTTACTCAAAGTTCGTGCCATCGCTAACTGATAGTTATATAGCAAAAATTTATGAAGTTATTAAATTAGATATTGCCGCAGAGTCACGTGCGTCGTAACAATTTTCTTCGGGCTCTAATTGTGTGTTGGGATAGTCCATGGAATGCATTTGTAGGGCATTTCTTATGCCGAACAGCGGCGGGCAGCCGAATAGAACAGGTGCAAAATTGCATGATTTTGATTGGTTTGATTAGATTGTCTAGTCTGCCTGATTATCCCCCTTTTTTTTTACTTTGTGTCTTCTCTCTTTCTATCATCAAATATTATCTCTTTTCCCTCGCTCCCTCCCGCTCGCTGTGGCAGTGTCTTTTCGGTTTCTTTCTGCCTTTCTCTATTTCTCTCTTTCGCTCTCTCTCGCTCTCTTTTTCTCCCTCCCATCCTCTCTCCTTTTCTCCATCTTGAGCTTAGGATATCTCTTTATCGCTATATATAGATAGATTCCTCGCAGTTCTTTCTCATCCGTTCTCCCCCTCTCTCTCGATCTCGCTCTCTTTCTCTATCTCTCTCTCTCTCTCTCTCTCTCTCTCTCTCCCTCTCTCTTTCTCTCACTCTCACTCTCGCTCTATCTATCTATTTGTATTGCTATCGTTTCCTTCTTTTACACTTGGTCCATAAACAGTCTCTTTCGCACTCTGTTCTCTCTCTCTCTCTCTCTCTCTCCCTCTTTCTCTCTCTCTCTCTCTCAAGTCTGTATGTCTTCTCAATGCTTTCTATTAAATGTTATATTTTACTATTTTCATTTAAACTTTAAATATTTTAACTGTTTACCTTTGTTGACCTGCGCATAAAGATTTAACTGCAGATACGATAATTGGATGCACAGGATCGAGTATTTGCCGGGACGGCAATAAATCTTTTATCACACAAGTAATAAAGTTGTGGGACAACTATGGCCGAGCAGTTCCATAAACCAAATCCGACGCGAGCCCAGCAATAAGCAGTTAGAAGTTTAACTGCAATTTCTGTTACCTCTGTAGGGGGAAGAGAATGTGGGGGGTGGGGGGCGTGGCGTGCGAGCTACCTGGGGCTTACTAATTGCCGTAGCACAAAACTTTACGACACGTGAATATGTGCCAAAATTAAGCAGCGACGCCGACGCCGGCAACAAATTAACCAATTTTGTTGCATGGACGTGTGGGCGTGTGGGCGTGCCCACAATGCCAACACTTTAGCTGTGATGGGGCACACACACGGCTTTTATATACGATATTTGCATAAACTTACGCTTGCATGCGACTCATGAGGCGCCTCGAATTATGCTACAAACTAAGACGAGTTGACTGCCGACTTCTCACTGCTTGCTGCTGACTGTTTACTGCCGAGTGCTAACTGCGATTTGGTTAAACGGGCAAAACTGCACGTGAGCTCGTCTCGAATGTGACTGGCATTTGGCTTCCAAAAACATAAAAGCGCACATGGCCACAAAAGGTGAGGCACACAGCTCTAACGGTACGACCAGAAGGGTTAGCAGTGGCAGCAACAGCAGCGGCAGGGGCAGGTGCAGAGCTTTGCCCCAGTCCTGGTTGGTATCTTCATGGCTTCTCGCTTTGGTTTCAGTGGCATGTCTAAGGACAACTCTGACTTTTTGGTAGCAGCAGCGGCTCATGTGTGTCTGTCTCTCGTTCTCTCTCTCTCTCTCTCTCTCTCTCTCTCTCTCTGTATGTGTGAGTTGTCTAAATTCTATTTATTTTGAGTAATTTAGTTTCTATTTGATGCATGCCACACCCACACACACACACAAACAGCTGGCCGGGAGGCAATTAAAAACTTGGGTTACAAACTGTCGACAGGGCTGCATGCAAAACCGTTTACTCCGACAGCCAGTGCAGGTGTGTGTGTGTGTGCGTGTGTGTGTGTGTGAGTTCGCGTGCCACATTCACGTTGAAACATGTCCACTTAAGAATTGCATTTAAAAATCCACAAAAATCGGAACTATATATGCATGCGCGCACCGTTTAGCTTTGTTGGCCAAAAATTGTTTTGGGCCCAAAGTTGCATTTGACACGTATTTATAAAAAATGTGTTATCTGAGCACAGGTGAGAATCTGTGAAAGGAGCTATGAGACCACTATGAGAAGGGAAAGTTTTGGAAAATTTTAAAATATAAAACCAAACTCTCGAGTGTGTGTTAGATGGGCACCTTTAGGTTCTAAAATTAAAATAAATTAATAAACAGTAAAAAGATTTTAGAATCAAATTTGTAAATATTTCAGATCTTAATATTTCATTCTACAGAGCAGCTATTGAATTAACAATTCCCTTATTTCCTGGCATAAAAATGTAAGCTCAAAACTAAAAGCTCACAAAACTGAAAATATATCTATAAGATGATATATCTACTACTTTCTAGTCAGAATTTGGTCGATTCCCATTGTTTCAATGCAGATAAGTAAAACTTTCAGAATCTACATCCAACTTAAGCTGGGAATAAACATGGTCGAAATTGTCTCAAATCTGGTTCCCATTGTTTTCTATAAGCCAGATTAGATTATCCCAGATGGAGATTACTAAAGCTTTCTGATTGAACAATGAATTTCTAAGTGACCTGAGGATCATTCCGTTTTTCAAAATGAAAAATACCAATAAATAAATAATTAACTTAATATTTTATTTTGTATCTACTCAAGCATCGTTAACATTTCGGAGTATGTCATATAGTAGTAGTACATGTTGTTTGTATTTCGGATATATCCTAATATCTGGAACGACGTTGCTCGTTGTTAAAGTTGATGCCCAAAATGGTGGCACACACAAAGGCGGCGGCCTGAATAAAATAATTAGTTAATGAGTCAGTGTCAGCTAGTTTTGTTTTTTGTTTTTTAGTTGCCGTGTGCGCAAATAGAGTAGATAAGTGTACTTACCTCAACGGCTATCAAAATCCAGCCAAATACCCTAACGAACTTCAAGGCCTGCTCATAGAAATCGATCAATTTGTTTAAGCAGCCGTCGGGGTAAACCGTGTGCGTCGATGTGGTCGAGGTGCTATTGGTGACATAACAGCTCTGCGGGATTGTGATATTGGCCTTGGTATAATCGATGGGGCCATTGATGCCGCAGCACTTCAGCTGCAAAGGAAAGGAATGTGTATATAGAAGAAGTCTCTTCGGCAATCGTCAAGAGCTTACGTTCGTCTGATAGATGGACATGGCATCGGTGCCATTCTTCTGCTTGTCCCAGGCCTGGTTCAGTTGCTCCCGCGACAACGTCTGCTCATCGATGCGCTTCAGATAGACAAAGCATAGCACGCAGCTCAGGATCAAGATGATCAGCAACACGATGGCATACTGTGGGCACAATATACATATATAAATTGATAGTAGATATATGTAAATATTATAGATGGATATATATTAACACACCATCCAGGTGAGGCATATGTTTTCCTTGATCGCGCCACAGCAGCCAAAGAATGAGATCAGAAACACAATCGAGCCGGTCACAATAAACAATATAATTATGGGGCGTGTCTCATCGGCGACATCTTTCAGTGCAATCGAATTAACCACAATTACGCTAATGCCCAGTATCTGTAAATAACCGAAAAGCAAAAATCAAACAAAATTCAGTTATGAAATAACATTTTGTGCCACCTAGATATGAATGGGACTCTATGACGAACAGCAACAGGTAAACAGCTTAAAAAAGTATTTTTGCTTTTCCGTGTGCCGCGCCCAGAGCCCTATCTCTATATACCTATACATATATATATCTGTACCGTACATATGTGTACTGTGTACACACGCAGAGCTTATATATGATGTATACGCTTGAATTCCGTTGATAACCCAACTTCGCTGAACTTTGACGCTGACTAACTGCGACGCAGAGTTTTCCATTTCTTTTGTTTTGGTTTTAAGTTTTTTTTTTTTTCCAATTTCTTTTATATATTTTGTTACTCACCGCGCAGAGGGCATTGAATATGAATACCAGATATTTGATCGTAGCCGTTGCACAACCCATTTCACTTTTGTTCTATTTCTAAGTATATAAACCGATTTGGCCAAAACAATTGTTAATGCTGCAACACAAAATTGAATCGTTGCACGCTCGCTGACGACTTTTTTTAGACTGAATTACTAAAAAAATATACAACCGTCGGGCGGTCGCTTCACCGGCGGTTAGTTGCGATAAAAATTGTACGGGAAGTTTTTGTTTGACGGCGTTGAAAATAGAAAAAAAAAATAAAAATAAATAAAATAATAATAACGATAATAAGCGAGTCAGACATACACTGCGAGAAATGCAATGGTACCGCAACTACCTAAGCCCCAAAGACACCGTTTATCAGCAGGTCTAAGACCTCATATCTGGCTGACTAAACGTTACGTGGGGGTGAGTCGTTAACTTGTCTGAGCTATGGGAACTAAATTTTAACATATGTACTTTGTGGCAAAAACACGCCCATAAATATGACTGAGTTATTTAAATGGCGAGATACCCGCACCTAAGGTGCATATTTGGTTTCATTTGGGGGTAAAATTAAAAATGCAGGTGAAATGCAAGTGAAAAGTAACGAGAGGGGAATCTAGGTGGAATGCAAAATATTCCCAGCTCAGTTGTATATTTGATTTCATTTGCGGTTAAAATAAAGTTGGGTGGAATGCAAGTGAAATACAAGTGAATTCAAATGCAGTAAAAGTGGAATACAGGCGGAATGCAAGGGGAGAACTTTGGAAATTTGAAAAGCTGATTGATTACGCCAGTAAGTCTTATAGGGCAAGTGAAATATGGATGGATTGAAGATGGAATACCTTGAAACGTTATGAGCTGCGAGTGGAATTCTTTGAAGCATACTTAATAACTGGAAAAGTGGAATATAGGTGAAATAGAAGTGAATTAGCAAAAGCCATTATTAACCATAGGACTTATGCAAGTGAAATATAGATGGAATACTTTAAAACACTGATCATAGGTTAAATGACAATACTTTGGAACATTAAAAGCTACAGGGTATTTTACAGTCGTGCATACCCATTTGCCGCTCTTTAACCCTGAACCAGTGAAGGGAACGTAGTGTAAACTAATTTGAAGATAACAGCGCTTACCTCACAAGCACACAACTACACACAGTATCACAACTTATCAGTTAGTTGACAATGCGCACTAACTCAACTCTTAATGTGTGTATATAAAGAAGCCAATTCTAAAATATATATATATATATATATATATATATATATGCATGTGTATATTTATAGTTTTTGCACCTGGTTGCGCTTGAGTGCACATCAAACTTGCTGGCTAATTGGCTGCAGGAGGCATTGCAGCTGAAAATCGATTTGAGAGCAACTCATCAAATTCCATGGCATTTCTAAACTTTGCATGCCTCAGCACAGCTGTTTTGGGCTGTGAAGCAGCCTTATCAGCTTGAGCTAGAGCTGCTATCTCGATGGCACTAAGCTGCAAATGGACATTCGTGTGTTATGTTTGATTTTGGCGTTAGGGTTTTTTTTTTTTTATTCATGCCGCTCAGTTGGGTTATTAACGCTGTGCCTGGTCGAACCACACACACGGAAAAAAGAGGGAAAGGGAGAAAACGCTAGAAAAGCATATTCACAAAATGAGCTGCGGTACGCAAACGTTGAAAATCTCTTCATTCGTTTTGGATTTTCTTTGCTGCGTAAGTTATTGCTTAGTTATGAAGAGCTGATAATTGTGATTTTTTTGATTTATAGATTTTTGCCTCACTGTCCATAGCTGCGTGCTCGTACGCATTGATAGTGCTCACACATAGCCAGGCCATACGCATACCCTGCATATTGGGCATCGTGCTGGGTATCTTGCTCTTCGGCAGCACCATCTTTGGCTGCATTGCGGCGCTGCGTGAGAGCATACGACTCAGCTGGATTGTGAGTACCCAAGGCACTAAGAGATTACAAATTTCATTTTATTTTTGTTTTTTTTTTTTGCCAAAAGTATGCTGCCATTTTGCTGGCCTTGATATGCGCCCAAATTACAGTTATATTCGCACAACCCATCAACTTTGAGCTGCTGGCCAACGAGACCATCTCGAATGCCTGGCAGGAGCAGCTGTATTCGAATGGCAGCATGTCCTACTATGAGATCAAAGTAAGTTGAAATTTAATTATTTAATTGATATATATGAAAATAGCTAGTGTAGTACCACTGCTGCGGCAAATCGGGACCCCTGGACTATGCTGCCAGCGGACTGCGAATACCCGCCAGCTGCTATTTGAACCAGAACTCGACCATAGCCCCGGATTTATATACAGTGGGCTGTAACAAGCGTCTGGCTGCCGCCTATGTGATGGGCACCAGATACGAGCGCATCAGTGACTGGACGGTTGTTGGCCTGGAGGTACATATACATATATATATGTATATTCCAAGTAGATTAACTAATTCCCAAATATTTGCAGATATTGACTGTAATGGTTGCCGGCCTGCTTGCAATCACATTACAAAATGCGGAGCGTAGACGTTTGTACCGTTAGATCAGAACTTTGGCTTTAATTTGTAACAGTATTTCAAATTGTACAAATATTAAATGTTTGTTTTGTTAATCATGCAATTTAAAATGTGCGCGTAAGCTAAAAGTTGCTCAGTTAAAAACAGCGCCATCTGTTGTGTATGAAGACAACTATTCATTTAAAATTAGCAGTTGAAGCAATTTAAATGCAAGGCATGTTGTAGCTGATGCTGTGATTGGCAATCTCATCTAATGCATAAATGAATCTAACTATTACCTAATTACGAACACCTTATTCAGTAAAATTGTTATGCATATTGCAAACTAATTAAGTATTGGCGCGCCTTTCACGGTTTCATCTGCGTACTGCGACACAGTGCTGCCATCTGCGCGCCCGAGCTATCGAGCGACCGCCACAATATATCGCATTGCCTATCGATATGTTGTTTACAACCTTTAGCAGAATAGAAAAAAACAGGAAATTCGCAGCGCGTTCAACTAGTTTTCCGCTTAAAAAGATGAGATTCCAGCAGACAGCATGTATTCATAACGCATTTGGTAGCGTTGGACATTAGGAGACGCACTCGCGGCTATCGAAGTGCTTAAACTGGACTGTGCATTGGTCGTGGCCAAGTTCAACGCTGGCCACAACAAACAAGAGATCAATTTTCTTGGCCAACGCTTAGTTTGGCGCAAAGAGAGTGGGGCTCGAAATTGTTGCCGGTCATTAGCACAGCGTAGCTGAAGCAGACAACAACAACGTGCGCGCAAACACGGGTGTCCCAAAAAAAAAATTAAAAAAGCAAACAGCCGTTCGTCAAAATGGGTCTGCGCTTCCAGCAGCTAAAGAAGCTCTGGCTTCTATACCTGTTCTTGTTGTTTTTTGCATTCTTCATGTTTGCAATTAGCATAAATTTATATGTGTCAAGTATACAGAACACTGACGCAGAGCCGCGGTGAGTAATTGAAATATAATCAGCTCTATTGTTATCTATGAAAATGGAGTGTGTGCCAAAAGTCTTACTGAAAATTGCCACGAAATTGCAACCAAGCCTGGCTTCAACCGCGCATCGCTGCATTCGTCCCATTGCATAATTTCCTTCAAGGCAGCAGCAGCAGCAGCAGTTGTTGTTGTTGTTGTTGCAGTGTTGGCAACTTCCAAAAAGAAGCCAATACAAAAAAAAAAAAGCTAAAAGTAGCTGGCAGCTGCTTGGTTGACTGCCCAAAGTTAGCTAAAGCGGCTGAGGACTTCTGAAGCTAGCCAAATTGAGCTAGAAAATAGCTGAATTGCCAACACTGGCTGGTTGGTGTTGCAAGTGGCTGCCGGCGTTGTGGTTGTTTCCACTTGAGTGGGCCGCTGGCTGGACGGGTATCTCTCATCTCCAGCCTTGCTTTCGATTTTGCTGGCTACTTTGCATTTTTTTACGGCATTTCTACTTGTTTTGCTGCTGCTGCTGTTGCTGCTGCTTGTCTTATTGTTAAATGCCCAACATTATTGCCATTGTCATCTTTTGTTTGTTTGCATGTTTGTGTTTTTTTTTTATGTTTTTGTCTTTTTTCTTCACTTTTGGATCACTCAACGTGCAAAGTCATCCAAAACCGCCGCCCAAACGACGCTCGCTCTGGCCGTACAAAAACATTGTGGCCCACTATATTGGCAAGGGAGACATCTTCGGCAATATGACTGCAGGTTATTAAACCACAACAAAAAAAAAAAACCCAAAAAAAATTAAAATAAAATAAAAAACATTCAATGACCATACATTTGCAGATGATTACAACATCAACCAGTTCGAGCCTAAACAGGGCGAGGGCGCCGATGGGCGACCCGTGGTCATACCGCCGCGCGATCGTTTTCGTATGCAGCGCTTCTTCAAGCTAAACAGCTTTAATATCTTGGCCAGCGATCGCATACCCCTCAACAGAACGCTCAAGGACTACAGAACGAATGAGTAAGTCGTGCGTTTAGCTTTATTAATATGCTCTTAATTTGTCTGTGTACACGTCTTGCCATTTCCAGATGTCGCGATAAACGTTATGCCCATGGCTTGCCCAGCACCTCGGTGATCATTGTCTTCCACAACGAGGCCTGGTCCGTGCTGCTGCGCACCATTACCAGCGTCATAAATCGCTCACCACGCCAACTGCTCAAGGAAATCATTTTGGTGGACGATGCCAGCGATCGCTGTAAGTCTCTATTGAATCTTAGTTAATCTTAAATTCTTACCATCTCTGCCTGCATTCACAGCCTTTTTGAAACGCCAACTGGAGGCCTACATCAAGGTGCTTAATGTGCCCACGCGTTTGTATCGCATGAAGGAGCGCAGCGGACTGGTGCCCGCTCGTCTCATGGGCGCGCAGCATGCGCGCGGCGATGTGCTCACCTTTCTGGATGCGCACTGTGAGTGCTCCCGTGGCTGGCTGGAGCCATTGTTGGCACGCATCAAGGAATCGCGCGAGGTGGTCATTTGCCCGGTGATAGACATCATATCGGACGACAATTTTAGCTACACGAAAACCTTTGAGAATCATTGGGGCGCCTTCAACTGGCAGCTAAGCTTCCGCTGGTTCTCCTCGGATCGCAAACGACAGACCAGCGTTAAGCCCAAGGACAGCACAGCGCCCATAGCCACACCGGGCATGGCTGGCGGCCTGTTTGCCATCGATCGCAAGTACTTCTACGAGATGGGCGCCTACGATAGCGAAATGCGCATCTGGGGCGGTGAGAACGTGGAAATGTCCTTTCGCATTTGGCAGTGCGGCGGACGCATCGAGATTAGTCCCTGCTCCCATGTGGGCCACATATTCCGCAGCAGCACGCCGTACACGTTCCCGGGCGGCATGAGCGAGGTACTCACCGCGAATCTGGCACGTGCTGCCACCGTCTGGATGGACGACTGGCAATATTTTGTGATGCTCTACACGGCCGGTCTATCGCTGAGCGCGCGGGACAAGGTGAATGTGACGGAGCGCTTGGCACTGCGCGAGAAACTCAAGTGCAAGCCATTTTCGTGGTATCTGGAGAACATTTGGCCGGAGCACTTCTTTCCCGCACCGGATCGTTTCTTTGGCAAAATCATTTGGCTGGATGGTGAAACGGAATGCGCACAGGCGTACAGTAAGCACATGAAGAACCTGCCGGGACGTGCCCTGTCTAGGGATTGGAAGCGTGCCTTCGAGGAGATCGACAACAAAGCCGAGGAATTTATGTCGCTGATCGATTTGGAGCGCGATAAGTGCCTGCGTCCGCTGCATGACGATGTGCCGCGCTCAACGCTGCAGCCGGTGACAGTCGGCGATTGCACATCGCACGCACAGACGATGGACATGTTTGTCATTACACCCAAGGGTCAGATAATGACCAACGACAATGTCTGCCTCACATATCGCCCGCCCAAAGCGGGCGCGCTCAAGCTGCTCAGAAATCGGAACGCAACGACTTCGAATGTGATGCTGACGCAATGCGCCACCGAGGCAAGTCAACAGTGGACCTATGACATGGATGTGAGTAATCAGTGGGCGTCGGGCCTGACTTTTCGATTAATTACATGCAAATCTCCATTACAGACACAACAGATTTCGCATCGCGAGACAAAGCTCTGTCTGACGCTCAAATCGGCCACAAATGCGCGCAACCAAAAGGTGGAGAAAGTGGTTCTTACCATGGAGTGCAACTTCAAGGATATAACACAGAAATGGGGACTCATACCGCTACCGTGGCGCATGTAAAAACACAACTTCGAAAACATGATAACGACAAAACGAGATAACACAAAAAAAAAACCCCCCTGCCAGCGATCTAATACAATGTGATATTTATTGAAATTGTTTAACGACCCGCCCCCTCACACACACACACACACGCACACTGACACATACACCTTGACACGCCCACAAGAATTGTTTTGAGTGTTTGCCTGGGAGCTTTTCTCCCCTGCACAAAAAACGTGAATGGTACTCTATGCAATTCTACGTCATATTTATTAAGTCAAATTTTTTAGGCAATTTTAAGTCGCAAAGTAACAAGTACTTTACTTAATACTTTTAACATTTTATGACACTTTAATTTTCTAACAAATTAAATAAACAAATATTAAAAAATTAAGCTCAGCTGCGACATTTAAAACAGCGACCTGCCGCTTTAAATAGAGGCTCATAAATTACATAAAAAGAATGAGAAATAATGTAGAAAGTGTCACTGTGCTATCTCCACCTTTAATACATGTTCATATATATACTATATTGAGTCTCTGTAGATTATCAGCTTTGCAGCCGCTTTAAAATTGCAGCATCTGCTGCAGATTGTCGCATTCGCGTTCGCAACATGATCTGCTGCTATAACACCATCAAGTACACCGGACTCTTGTCCAATCTGCTTTATATGGTAAGGTGGCGTGTTGCCATTTGCTTAGCTTACATGATTAACTCAATCTTATCTCTTGCAGCTACTGGCCATAGGTGTGCTGGTCGCAGCTGGCCTGGGCCTGCAAATGGCACAGCCAAACACGCCGGAGCATACATACTTTGTGGAGAGTCTCGTGCTGGGCGCCACCATCTGCACCATAGTCATATTCGGCTGCTATGGCCTGGTCTGCGATCTGCTAAGCGTGAATTTAATTGTGAGTCTATGCATTCATGAATTATTCATGCTAATCTGTCTCATATTTCAGTTCACCTGCTTCATACTGATCGTGCTGGGCGTAGAGTATCTGCAGCTGCACAACTACCAGCCGCATAGTCGCTATAGCGGCGCCTGGCAGCAGCTGGAGCTGACGCTGGCCTGGCATGGCCTGGATAAGCAGCCGGAGCTGATGCAACAGTATGAGCAGCAGCAGCAATGCTGCGGTTACAACGGCGCCAACGACTACAAGTCTTTGCATTTGCCCATACCGAAAAGCTGTTATCAGCTTGCTGCTGCCGACGACAAGCTCTTTACACGCGGCTGCCAGGCGACATTGAACCACAACCAAAACCACATACAGCAGCGCGATAAGCTATTCATGTGGTGCATCATTGGCCTTGAGGTAAGCAGCAGCCGCGGCACCCGCAGCTGCCAGTTCACTGATCTTTCTAGTAACTCAAATGCGCATACCCACAGATCTTTATACTCGTCCAGACCATCGCGCTCAGCGGTCTGCTCTACAAGCTGCGTCAACGCGAGCGACGGGCACGACAACAGGTGCCGCCAGGTGTGCGCCGTGAGCCGCGAGCCAATCATGTGGGCTCGCGAGCCCAGCTGCTGGACAATATTTGAATAGCATCTCTATGGATCATAGCAGTTAAGTCGTTTATTGTAGTTTAGCAAATGCAGCGTATAAATCTTAGTTCTAGTACGCGTAACGGCGTGTTTTTGTGGTCAGCTGACAACACAGCGTTATGCCCAAAATAATGCCCACAATCTGAAAAGATAAACAAACGCACATAAAGGATGCATATTTTTAAATCAAAAGCTGCAGCTAATAATTCACCTCATAGCCAATAAGACCGCCGTGCGCCCATCTCTCGGAGCGATAGATATTCAAATGGGCACGTTTAACGGCTGTCATGCAGCCCTCGGCATAGGGATAGAGCGCATGCACCCCGTCCTTGGTATGGAAACAGCTCTGGGGCACACGCATGCTCAGGCTGGTGTAGTCCGAGAAGCCTTTGTCACCGCAGCACTCGTACTGGACAACAGAAGTTACAGATATGTTTAACATTTGTGCGAACATGGACTTACCCTGCGCTCCACTTGATGCATGGCGCCCGGACGCACCAGCTCCTTCATCCAGACGCCCATGACAAACTCCTCCGTGGCATCCACATGCTTGGACTCATTGTAGTGCGCCAGGCGATAGACGTGTGCACCAATCAGCAACACCAATAGAACCAAGTGCTGTAAATCACAATAATTTAGCAAAAGCCGCTTTTTTGATTTGGGATTTTCTTAATTACCACCGCCAGCACCTTGATGGAGCCCAAAAAGGCGCCCGAGCAGCCGATGACAGCGGCCAATATAAGGCTACCGGCCATGGCCAACTGCATGATCTTGTCCGCATCAATGTGATCCGCGGAGCCCTCGTCCAGTTTATAGAGCAGCTCATAGACGCCAGCCAGGGCGGCCAGGCTGCCAATTAGCTGTGCAAACATAAAAGTGAAATTAATTGGGAAAATAAAAAAATCATGTGAATTAACAACGCGTCACACAAAAACAAATTAAAAAACAAAAGCCTGGCCAAAAATATAAAAAACAAAATAAAATCAAATATTTTGGCTGCCTTTGTCAGGCAGCAGAAACCAAAATAAAAACAAATACAGACGCATGAAATTACTTTCGGCTTTATTTTTAAATGCCCCGCCGGACACGCACACATACACACAAACACGCACACACACTAAAATTGTTGTGCGAAAAATGTTAGCAATAATTAAAAATAAGTAAAATGACATCTTGTCTGGCCATCGCATCGGAGGCAGGAGATTTGTTTGCTGCCAAATTGGCCATATAGAATATGTAAATAAATAGCAACAATTAAAACGTAAAGCGTGAAAAGTGATTGAAAATTTAATGAGATTTAACAGCATATATATAGGCTATATATATATGTGTGTGTGTGCAGCATTAAATCGAGTGCTTAATGAGCAAATTACTCATACGCACCGTGAGTCAAGCGGCGAGCTGTTTGTTAATGGAATATCTTGAGTAAAATCGTATAAATGCTAATGAGCGTACATATATCAGCATAGCCCTAATTCATATGCCTATTTACGAAATATGTTTATGCACAAAAAAAAAAAAACAAAGCGGCTAACTGGATTTATGAAAACTTACCAAAGTAAATGTATTGAACACCACCGCGGTCCATTGCAGACACACCTGCAGTGTGGGCATTGCGTGTCGCAGCTACTAAATCGTTTTTAATTTATGCTAATATATATATATACTATTTTTTTTTTGTCTTTTTTTTTATGTTTTTTATATGGCATTCGCTCTGGTACGATCTCCAATCCGCATGAAGACGCGCGCGTCTCGTGGCCCAAACTGTTAATGCTTTTCGGCTGCCAAGAGAACTCAACTCGTTCAGTTTGAAGAAAAACTGCGAAATGTTTACAAAAGCGTTGAGTGCTTTTTTTATTTTTCTTTTCTTTTTTTTCTGTGGTCGTTACTCAAGAGACACAATTCCCAACAGCTGTGCCCCTCGCCCCGAACGCCGCATCGTTCCGCGACTGCGAATCGTTTCACATGTATTTCTATATATATATATATATTCATCTTTATAGGCAGCCCATATATCTATCCACTTAGCCGCTTATACTAGATATGCCATGGCTATAAGTAGTTTGGAAAATGTACAACACCAACAACAACAACAACAACAACTATTCAAATAGGAAGAGATTTATAGCATTTAAACGGATTATATTAACTGAGTAAGTTTTTGTTCGCAAACGTTTTGCACAATATTTATTTATTTATCTTGTGTAAAATGCCAACACTTATAGATGCTACGTTTAAGTTTCAATTGCACTACGAGCTATTGATTAAATGGGGGGAGGGGCAAACCTTTCAGAAACGCTCGCGCCGCAGTTTATTGCGCACGGTGATGCCCAGGTGGGTGGCTGTGCCCAGAGCGCAAAGCTGTGCAGATGAAAGACAGAAGGTGAAATTGTTTAAATACAAAAAAAAAAAACACAAATCAGCGAATCACTTACTTCGGTGCACCGAAGATCAAATACCCTTATGGAAGAGCAGAAAATGTGTGATATATATCTATGGGGTTTCAATTTTCGTGAGGCCTTATATTATACTGACTTATAAATAATTAAATATTTCTAGAATTAAAGTAAATAACCTATTTTTCCTATTGCAGCTGTTTTATATAAATATGCGATTCCGATTGGATGTTGGAATAAAGAACTTCGCACAGCTAAAAAGTCCTTCAGTGGAGTCTTCTAATTACAAAAAGTGAGTTTTCATTCAAACTGTTTTCTACCTTTCGTTCCTATGTTATCCATATATACAACTACTAAATAAGTGATATAATATAGATATCTAACATATATACTTTCTGCAACAAAACAAACAGACAGACAGAGGGATATCGACTAGGCTCTATATACTCTATAAATGATATATATATATTGTTATGACCCCGCATATATCGCGCGACAAAATGATTATACTCTATCGTCCACAAGGGTATAAAGAAATGTTTTCCAAAATCTTTTCTTGGCCCGCCTAAGCCAGCCATAAATTATTGTTTGAAATGATGTTAAGGTCGATGTTGAAAACTTGCCTCGAGCATAAACAGCAACCACTTGATGATCAGCCCGTTAATGACATTGTCTGTGGCATGTGCCTGCACAGCGTCCAAGCAGCCGCCGCTGAAGAGTTGACTCTGCACTCGTTCCTTATGGCCATAGCAGCTGAGCGGAAAGCCGGAGCCCTGGAGTATATAGTCCTGTGGCCCGCTTTGGCCACAGCAAGTGTACTGTGTCGAAAAGGAATGCGTGAATCATTTGTTTAGCGTACTCCGCCGGCTTACCTTCTGCTCCAGATAGCTAATGCGTTCCACGTTGCGTCGCTGATCTGACCAGAGAGCTAGGAAATCCGCACGTGCACGCTCCACATAGTCCGTGAGATGGGCAGCCGCAATTATATAGATTTGCAAGCCGATCAATATCAGCATGCAGCTGACAAACTACAGGGTATAGAGAGACTGTTAGGTAATATCTATTTAAAAGTTTGTGGGTAATTTGATAATTCTGTCTCCAAGCCAAAGGTCGCTGGTTTAAATTTCATATAGTTTTGCTATTATTCCAAATGAAATAAGCAAAACTAAGAAATTTAAAAGGAAGTACTAAAAAGGCATAAAAATATAACCTGGGTTTCAATATAATCGGATTTGAGCCGCTCCGAAATTGCCGCGCGTTACATTGAAAATTTGTTAACACTTGCAAATTTTCTATAATACATTATTTCTACGAACCGTGCGACGCCGGTTATTTGTATCAAACTTACGCTCCAAATGAGTCCCAGCGAAATGCGCGCGCCCGCAAAGCAGCCCAGCAAGGAGCTGAGCACCACAAAAGAGCCCACAAATATCTGCACCACGATGGCGATATGCTGAAAGCTGCCCGGCGTGACGTTGTTCAGCTCGTATAGGGACAGTGCAATCAATGTGACGCCAACCAGCTGCAAATCAATCGGGCCGTGAACGTCTTGTGCAATGCCACAGGAAATAACTTATACGAATATTACGCATACGCACCGATAGCAGCACATTCAGTGCGATGAGTATGGCTTTCAGGCAGGATACACGACTGGCCATGTTCGCAACGCAAACCAATCGATAGTGCGTCCAATTGCGTTTCGGTAACTTTCGTTCGTATGATAACAAAAAAACAACTAGTATATGTGGTGTAAATAATAAACGCGCTCCAGCTCCAGCCCTTTTGCCAGACACGTTGGACTACGACTAAACGACGCGCATTTATTTTGAAATTATGGCGGCCCCAAAAAGGCCAACAACACCACACAGACAGCACGGCAATCCGACTGTCTGACATTCGGCTCGCTGTTTGTTATTGGTGGCTTCTTCTAAGAAATCAACGTTCGAGTGCTGACTCTTCTTGTTGCTATACCCTGTAAATGTTCAAAGCAGTTAGATAGATTGATAGACTGAATTCAACATTCGTCTGCTGACTCTTCTTGTTGCTATACTCTGTAAATGTTTGATATTTAGACTGAGTTTAGGCAGCTCCTGAAATTGTTGCTACTTTCATCAGGGTTTTATCATGCTTACGCTTAAAAGTGGGAAAGCAACCACGAAAAGAGCGCCAAACAGAAACACATTAAAATATCTTGAAAAAGTCCTAAGTAAAGGGTATCTGTGAGCTCAGCAGCTTAACCTATGACCATAATACTTGTTGTGCTATTAATGTTCAGTCTCTTGGCGGAGCATTTGTGGGTGGTATGATGTCACTAGCATGTCGACAAAGCTTTTGCCCCGCCCCTTAACCTTAAAAGGAGCTTTTGTCCTATATAGTATACGTACGTGAGCGTTCATTGATAAAGTGCGCAGCAAAATGCCATTTGTAAATGATACTGTGATAAGGATATGATAAGGACAAGGAAACCAAGCAACCTTTTCTTAAGGCAAAATTCAGCTGGTTGAAACCAAGTAGGTGGGGAGAAACTTCTTTCTCTAAGGTTCTATAATAAGCTAAGCAAATATTCGAACTATTGAAAATGTTGTCCGATTTCTTGACGTTTTCGCTATTCATTGCTCTGGTGCGTGGCATCGGCGAGTTAAGCGTGCTGCAAAGTCCAATGTCAATGGAATTCACCGGCAGCGATTCACTGGAGAGTTTTTACGTGGGCGATGTACTGCTGGCTGCATTGGGCAATAGTGTGACTGGCCAATCCGAATGGACCGGCCTGACCATCAAGGATCCCTTTCAATTGGACCAGACAACGGTGATTCTTGTCCACGTGAAGGGAGTTTATCGTGTGGCAACGCCGGGCAATTACATGGTATACGAACTGCTCGATTCGGACACCGCGAATTCGATTGATAATTTCATTGCACAGCTCGAGCCCGGCACAGTAAACGATTTCAATTTTATTAATCATAATCTGGGTGTCTTAACGTACAAGTCCTATTTCGGATATCAGGACGTGCCCATGGCCGAGCCTTTACATTTCTTAAACCCCCGCGACTATCTGAGCCATCAGAATTTTCTCGAGGAGGTCGGCTATATGAATGCCATTACCGGGAACTTGAGCGGCCTGCTGAATTCCTCGCAGGTGATCGTGTTTCGCCTATCGCTGGATCGCATTGCCAAGGTGACCAAATACACCATACTCTTTGAGGCCAAGCAACTGGTCGCCGCAGCGATTGCAGATCTCCTGGCCGCTGCAAGGAATATCAGCAATACCTTGCTTTTCGTGCAGACCACGGACAAGCAGATGTCTGCAAGCAGCTTGCGACATGGCAATAAATCGCAAAACTCACCAAATCCGTTCAAAAAATTCAATAATTTTGATTATCCGATAATATGCAACATTGTTGTGTGGTTCAGTCTGGCATATGCGCTCTCGCTCGCAGTCATTTGCTATGTAATTGTCAATATCGATCCTGGCAGGGATTCAATCATCTATCGCATGAGCTCTACCCAAAACTTCCGCTCAGACACGCTTCAACACAAGAAGAAGCACTAAGAGTTGATAGATGTGTTGTTAAATCTAATCAAATGCACTAAATAAACGGCTAATATATGTTCACAAGCGATAAGAGAAATTTTCATTTGTAATTCGCAAACGGTTTAAGCGCTGACAAAGATAAACATAATCCGTCACTTGAGAGCTCACTTAATATTTTATTTAGTAATATGCAAAAGTAAAAAATTCAATTTCCATTTCCTTATATATAAACATTTCAATTAGTTAAAGATATCACATAAAGCGGCAACACTCGATAGTTCGCATCAGTTTTGGCATTCCCTAAACTATGTGCCTTGTTTACCAATTAGCCAGCCCTCGTTTTGGCCAAAACGCATGCCAAAAAAGCAAAACAAATTTGACAAATAGACGCAAATACATATTTACATGTGTCTGTAGCTAAGGTATGAGGCTGCCAGATGAGCAACAAGTTGTCTGCCTCAGCCAGCGCATATTTTCATTTTTGCCCGGCTCGTACGCATTTTCTTCTTGTTGGCCCTGAATATGTGACGTCGCTCTATTTATAAACACGCCAAATTTTGTTGTATCTTTGAAAACGGGAATCGTAGTTGAGTGCGCGCTCGCACCACGTGTGGTATACGCAATATTTTGAGATTTTACAAAAGAACCATAATAAGGGCTATAAAAATTCGCTTTAAACTCTGACGGCATTGAATTCGTTTCATGCGGCCAGATCGAATTACTTTATCATATAGCAAGCATACGAATTGGTTATAAACAAAATTGTCAAATTCTTATATGGCAAGCTTGACTGTGTTCCTCTCGTGAACCAAATATTATGAGCATCGCACCTTTATAGCATATAGTTCGTATAGAAATATAAGTTATTTTTTGCTCCACAGAACCAGCTACTTCTTCTAGCCAAAAGTTATTCCTTGTAATTCTCAACAAGTTTTTCAAAAAGAACTTTTGATAAATTTCGCCTCACTTAATCCCAAAAAGCCAAAACAAACGCTTTTATTTATTAGAATGCACGCACAGATATATATTTAGTTTTATTTGATTTATAAACAGTTAAAATAAATTATAAATTATAATTTAACTAAGTACTTAGCTTATGTTTGTAGCATTTGAAGTAAAGTTTGCAGCTTATGAATTGTATGCATATAATTTTTGTTTGGTTTGTTTTTTTTTTTTTTTTGATTAATAATAAAGATTTATGCTCGAATAGGCGGAGCACAAATCAAATACTTAACATCCTGCCCCCGTTTTGTACTTGTCACCTGCCGCAACAGTTGGCCATTAAAATTGCATGCGCCGCTGTTTGTTGCGGAAACTGATGGCCAGAAAGACGGCCAGCACAAAGCACAACAGCTGCAATTGGTAACACGATTATTAAAGTATTCAATATATAATTGTATATTCAATATATAGTGGACACCCACCTCGAAGGCCACCAGCACCCAGGAGACAATGATGAAGCGCCGCTTGTCGCTCTCGTAATGGCTCTGCAGCTTCTCGATGCAGCCCTCGACAAACAGGTGCTCCGGCTTCTGCTGTAGATCGGCATAACAGCTGGGCGGTATCGATTGCCGTAGATGGACATAGTCCTGGGCGCTGGTCTTGCCGCAGCACTCGTACTTCTGCTGCAGTCCGTCCATGTTGTTCGCCTGCCAGGCCAGCTCCACGGTTTGCTGGGCGCTCTGCACCTCGAACTGATGCAAGAACATGCAGGTGCTCACAATTTGCGGTATGGCCAGCACCAGCAGAAACACAGCACTCTAAAGGAAGATAGTATTGTACAGTAATTACTCGCTATAAATGCAACAGCTGCACAGTTGAACCCTACCGTTGCGGTCAAACAGACCGATTCGCGTATGGCCGCAAATATGCCCAGAAAGGCGAACAGCACAATTATCGCGCAGGCCACATAGGCGGCGATAACAAACTCCTCGCTCTCCGTATCCGAATTGACGGCTATCCAACCGATTGCACCCACTGCGAGGAGCTGTAAGATTAACGCAACATATCAAACTGGAAATTCTCCGGGTGAGTCATCTGACAATATATACTATATAGGATACGAAAACAAGGTCCAAGTGCAATAATTTGAGTTTGAGTCGAAATCGAAACGCTTTTTGCAATTTGTGGCACATTAATTGAGGTTTGTCAAATGATACAAATATATATAAATAAGTATGTGGTATATAGAGATACCATATATGTGGCACAGAACCGCAGAGCGCGTCACTTGAATGATTTCTATACTCGTTCATCAAAGTGAAAAGAGTATATTGGTTTTGTAAAGAGTATATCTCGCTTGGAATCTTGGAAAATATACTCACGTTTTTGAAGTTCAACCATAAACTCCTGAGGCTCAAATCGTAAATTTATTGGAATATATGTTATTGGACTGTGCATGAGCATAGCCTGGTCTGTTATACCCCACGACAATAACATTACATTTTACTTTTTTTACTAGCAGAGAGGGTATTAAATTTTGTTACGACTTACATCAAAGCAGACACCTACAACCACATTAAGTCTATATATATATATTTTTACTTCTGATCTGTAAAACAGTCTGAGTCATGGCTAGGAACATTCGGTCAAATGATCATAAATTGTCTTATGCGTGCTAGGGTATTTAATGTTCGAGAGCTTTTCACTTTATATTTGTTCTTTGTCTGAAGACAGTCAATTGGTTGATTACATTCGGCCGGGGGTGTTGTTTGCGCCAAACACACCCCGTTTGGCATTGAGGGTTGAGGTTGAGGCCTATGCCTGGATTCGGATAACGCTATATAGGTCAAACTACAAGTAAGTGTAGTGTGCCATGATGACATCATTCGACAGCCAGAAACTGGTGCAATTGTGGGCGCAGGGTGTCCGTTTCCTGCGAGCACAAGACTTGGACTCCCCGGCCCAGTCAAAACAAACCAAAAGCTGCAAGTGTAAACATGCTAGCTATGGTAACAGGGGCAAATCTCAGGGGGCGGGGACAGGGGTAGTCAAGGGGCTGTTGCGATGCGTGTGTGTATTGGCCAAAGACCTGTCGTCGACGTGGCTAAAGTGTGTGAAACTGACAAATGACAAAATATTAAAAATACAACATGGCCAAATATAAGTGGCCATACGTGGGTTTGTCTACTGAAGAGATGGACCGGGAGAGAAGGGGGGTGCTAATAACATTGGGGCCATGTGCATGTGAGAATTTTTGAATATTCTAGCATCTTGCAGAACTGCGGTCTAGCCTTATTAAATATATATGGTTAAATCCGGTAGATTGCCCAAAAACTGATTTCTTTTCGCTTTCATTCTCGGGGCATATGACATCATGCTTGCAAGTGGTTTATTTCCTTTTATTTTTTGTTTTTGTTTTTTTTTTTTTGAATTGAATGCATCAGTGAAATAATAAATGTCATTGAAATATTTAAATAACAATTTGTGCATGTGTGTGTGTGCATTTGCATAATTCGCTCTCTCTATTTGTTATATATACATTTTTTGTTTTTTGCTTTTTCAAAACTTACCGCCAAAATGGCATTCAGCACAATGGAGCTAATCTTGACGGTTTTTATGGCGCAGCCCATTTTTCAAAATTGACTTTGGCAAGCTGAAAATTGAAAACAAACTTTTAATATACACAAATAGTAATTCAATCAGATTTTACTACAAAACTAAATAGTGTTCATCAAAATTAAATGCATTAAAATCACTTTCAATTGGATTGAATTGAAATTTTCAAGTTATGTTTATTTTTATTTTTACTAATTGTGCATAATTAGCTGGGAATATGAAATTGTACTCAATTTACACACACACTCAAATATCACAGCACGAAGTTTCTTAACCTTTTGACTTCCAAAACAACAAAGCGCAGTTGTTTGTTTTCGAAATAACAAAGTAAATGCTTTTTCAAATGTGCTCGAATCCGTTTCAGAGACTGGCGCGTTTCGCGTTTGCTTGCAAACTGAATCCAAATAAAAAAGTTCGTTATTTTCAACATTCAAAACGACTCACTCACACACACACACGCCCGCTCACCCACAATTACTCTCTCTCTCTCTCACACACACACACACATGCGCAGCAGTGGCCATTGGTCACACACAAACACAGTCACATCTTAAGAGAGAGCGCCAATGCGCTCGCGCAGATGAGCGCTGCTCGGATGTGACGTCACTGTCAATCGCTCAATACGTCATATTGTGAAACGGAATAGATGCTTCTTCTTCTTCGTGCTGCAGACTTTTGGGGATGTGAATTGAGTAGGGCCTGCGAAATATGGCTAATTTGGCCATATACGAGTCTCATCTGAGGATCAGGCAATTTCAGTCTTTGTGCGCATACGCAAGCATAATTTTTTGACCTAAATATGGCAAAAGGAAAGAAAGTCCTTATTGGAAATATTTTTCCAAGTCAACCGTATCCTTGCAAAATTTCAAAGGACATCTTTCATTAGGACCACGAAAAAATAATGTATCGATCAGCATTCAAGGACACACGTCCTGTTCAAAGGACTTTCGTCCTTTTAATTGCATATGTCGAATCTGCAGGATTAGCCAAAGGACATCGAGATTGTTCTACAAATGGCCAAGATATTAAAATATATATGCACAAGTTCTTTTATAACAAGCACGGAGCCAGTTTGCTTTCCGTTAAGCTGCCAATTTAAAGTAAACGAGATTATATTTAATGCCCTTCTACTCGATTCTCAAAAACTCAAGTAAGCGACGCAGGTTTCAGGCTGTGTGAATGTTTTTTTTTGTCGTGTCTTTTTTTCTGTCTTGTTTTTTTTTTTGTCGTGTTTGTTCTATGTATGTATGTTATATGTATGTGTGTATGTGTATGTATCTATGTATGTATGTATGTATGTAAGTATGTTTACATGTATGCATGTACGCATGTATGTATGTTTGTATGTATGTATGCATGTGTGTATGTAAGTGTGTATGTATGTAAGTATGTATGTATGTATGTACGTAAGTAAACATGTATGCATATACGCATGTAAACATGCGCATGCATGCACATGTACGCATGTATAAATGCCTGCATACACGTGTGCATGTGTACATGTAAGCATGTATGTATGTATGCACACATGCATGCAAGCATGTATGTATGTGCGCACGTGTGTGCGAGCATTTTATGCCAATCGAAGACATTTCGCTGTGCTGCAAATAATCCGTCCCCTCCATCTAAAAGATGGGAAATATTTGAGTGTGTACATGTGGAGTTTTGGATGAGTACATTTTTACATATGTTTCTATATCTAAAAATTCATAGTTTAATAAATTTAATTTTATTTCAAATATATTTTAAAGCTTGTAGCATTTGTGGTCGTTACTATAAGCTGTCTAGATAAAGTTGCAGTCCTCTCGGTCTTCTTCCCTTTCTCTTCCCCACTTTCTCTTTATATCTGGCCTTGGCCATGGGTGTTAACTTAAATATTGTAGATATCATTTTAGGGGGCTAAGCTGTGCCAGCTGCCTTCTCGCAGATGGGCAAGAGAGCTTAATCAAGCGTGTCGTCATTGGGAGTTCGATAATTTTTGGCTTTTTTACCCCCACGTTTCGATTGGCTTGCCTAATTGATTTGAAGAGCTTGCACTGTGGAACAAAATGCGATGGCTAGATGTCGAAAAATGAAAGCGATTGCAATTGTTTATTCGAGCTAAGTTTATATTTAATTCATTTGATTGCTTGGCAAGTGAACACATGGCGCTCTGTGCGGTTCAAAGATTGCATTAGTAGGTACATTGGTGACACTTATAGATGAGGTACTAGGAGTACAATTCGACTGACTTAGTTCTGGCTAAATATAAAATTAATAATTATAGCGACGTCTGCGATTTGAATAGTGTATGGCTAGTATGATCGCCAGTCCGAGTATTATCAGCTGAAAGCAGACAAATTGTAAATGTTAGAGCGCGAGGCATTCGGGCAGCTGACGGCGGAGGCACTTACATCGAAACCCAGCAGGCCCCATTCAAAGTAACGCGATGTGCTGGCCTCATCGGCAAAGGCCGCCTCCACTTTGCTCAGACAACCATCTGTATAGACATTCAATGGGTTCAGGCAGTTGTTGCCCTTGCAACAGCTCGAGGGCACTGTATTATTTCTATGCCCAATGGCAATATAGTCGCCGGCTCCATAGCGTCCACAGCAGGAGTACTATGCAAACGAGTTAACTTTAAATTGGGAAACACTTTTAGTTAGCCAGCACTCACCGTCTTCTGTATCAGATCCATGCTGCCCGGCTTGGTCAGCTCCAGTTGCCAATGATCCTCCACCGTTTGCATTGCATACCTCTTGAACACGTCGCGGGTATTGAAGAAGATGAAGACGGCTATCAGCACCAGCAGCACCAAAAGCAGCGACACATACTACAAAACAAAGAAGAGAAGTGTTATCCCAACTCTGCAAAACTCGTATCTATTGAAATACTCACCGTCCAGAGCATGCGCGACGATTCGCGTATGGCCCCAAAGCAGCCGAACATCGATATCAACAGTATAATGCCGCCCAGTACCATGATGCCGATGGCATATTGCTGCGGCATGGCGCCCCAGCCAAGGCCGCCAAACACGATGACCAATATACCAAGTATCTGAAATGTTCAATATGGCAAATGGAGAGCGTAAATTATAGAATGGCAGATTTCAGTATAGTGAATCATCATTCAAAAGTGGGCGTTTGGTTAAACGCCCTCCCATTTCTACTGAGAGGCAAACAAATTATTGTTTCTATTATATTGAGATTTGAATCTGAATTCTCATAATTCTATGTTAATGACTGGCTAATTTATCTACCAAGGACCTCAAAGTTTTAGATTCCTATAGCATTTCAGAGGCTTCTTTTCACACATTTCCCGTTAATACTTTTATTCATTGCCAATGCATGATCTAATTGGACATACCAGAGCTGATGTCATGATATATGTCAGCATATCGTCATTTTAGCAGCAAATGACTGGCTAAGTTAACTACCAAGGACCTCAAAGATTTGCTTCTCTTAGCCTTTCAGAGGGCTCTCTTCACATATATTCCATCAGTCATTGCAGCTTTTCCGCCAATGTTAGAATTCATTATTTCTGATGCATGATATAATTGGAAATATCAGAGCTGATGTCATGAAATATGAGAGCATATCATCATACAATACAATATTCTGGCCAATTTGTGGTTTTGAGCACCAAAAAGAGGCAAATGGAGCTGCTTTCATCGCCAGGTGTTGACATTGGTGTCGCGTGTGTTTTCTAATCCGGTTTCTATTACGATTTTTTTTTTCTTTGGTTTTTAATTATTATACTAAATCTGAAGGCATGACATCGTTGTCGCTGGTCGCTTGTTAACAAAGAAGCTTTCCAAGCGGCTCAAGGAATGCAAAAAGCCACAGACAATAGACACAGATACTCACACACACACGCATACACACACACTCGCCCGCTCGCTGAGCGCTAGAAAACGCGCATGTATGTGTTTTTTTTTTAGACTAACAATAATAGTCGTGAACTAAGCACGCATATACAAGATGATATCATCTGGTGTTAGGTAGAGCTACAAAAAGGTTTGTTAGCTTCTTTTTTCTTTTTCCTGATGTGAAACATTTATGCCAATTTGGCATAGCAAATGCAATGCTTCACGTTTGCCATTGCCAGATGTTTCATTTGAAAAACATTTGAAAACTTTTACAACTTACCGCCCATAATGCATTGAATAGGAATAATGAGTATTTAATGGAGCCCGTAGCGCAGCCCATGATTGCAACTAATCAAATTTGTTACAATAATGTTTGTATATAAACAAATGTGGACACGTGCAACAGTTTGTCGGAACAAAATAGCAGAAAACAACAACTGGACAATGTACTTGTTTTTTAGCTATTTTTGTTTTTTTGATTTTTAATTACAGCCGAGAACTGTGAGCGCAGACGGTCGCGTACGAACTACAACTGAAACTGAAACTGAAACCGAGACCCGAAGCTGGCGAGCAAAGAGCACAAAACGGCACAGTGGCACGCGGAGCACCACCACGGAGCACCACTGAGCACCACAGTGCAAACAAAAAGACGGTAAACAAACATGAAAAGCAAAAATAAAAAAGCCAAAATCAAATGTCAATGTGTGTACATGTGTGTGTATGTTTGTATACCAAAGCCCCAGCGATGTCGGAAGCCAAACAAACAAACAAACAAATAAACAAATAGCCGGGCGGTCTGACCCAGCCGGAGAGCTAAATGATTGAGCGGCCAACGAGCTACAAAGTGGTGCACTCTGGAACTGGGTCTATGGTAAATAGCTGCGACGCCAGCTCTCCAATGTGCCAGATGTTACAGCCGAGAAAGAGAGAGGGAGCAAGATTCGCTGTGGCGATCAGACGGCTCTTAGAAACTAATGCGCTGTGATTATCGAACACATTGCGTCATGAATGGGTAGCATGAGTCGATTGGGAATGTTAAGATGAATGAGCCGAATGACGCCAGCTCAGGCCAGGCCGGGGTATGTATCAGTTAATAGATAATTAATAATAATTATACAACTGCCCTGTGCATTTACTACCATCAGCAGTTTATTTGTAATTGTCTAAAAATAATGTTGACAAATTTTTTGAAAAATTATATTCCAATTCGAAAAGTTGTAAATATTTGAGACAATTTAACACAATAAGCAAATAAGAATTCGGCAGTCGGCTGTAACCGACTGCTTAATGCTCGTTCACACTCCAAAATTGAGAATATTTTTGTAATGTTATCGATTCTGACGATTTTCCTATCGGTCTTCAAGCTTTGTTAATCCAAGGAAGATACAGATTTATGTTTAGATCTCTATAGGAGATCTATGTTATAAAGGTTGGGATACATAGAGTCTGTAGTGTGCCTAGTGGGGACTGGCTACAAAATTCAAGTCCTTAGCTTGCAATAAAATTTGCATTCAGACTGGCGGACAGACAGTTAAAATATACACTTTTTGCGTTTGTGAACGAGCTTGAAAATCAGTTCGTTTTAATAATGATACGTGTATCTTTGGCGTTCCTTGCGAAAACGTTGCACCAAATAGAAAGTACAGAAGCACAAGAGAGCCTGAAACGGTAGAGTTTAATCAAATTTAATAAAAGTATCTGAATATAGCTAAAAAGGAACTCACCGTAACTGCAAATGAGCCCCATTTACTATTATCAGCATAATTAAAGAATCTCAAGAATTCATCGGCAGCGGCATTTACGCAGCCCGTGGTAAAATAGGGTATATTGCGTTTGCCATCGGGATAGCAACTGTCCGGCAATGTAGGACGATCGATGCTCACATAGTCATCGGGTCCATTGCGTCCGCAGCACTGGTACTGTGTGACAACATTATGTAGAACTCAATTAATGGCATTTGAGAATTTTGAAGTAAGTTTCACCTACGGTACGCTGTATTTTATCCATGGCACCGGGCTCGATCATCTCCAGTTTCCATTTGACATCGACATCTTCGACCGCATAGCGTTTAATGTAATCCTCATCGAAGCTGTTCCCAAACAAGCCAAACAATTGCACAATCAGCAAGGCCAACAAGATGAATCCATACTTGGGTATTGAGTGTTTGGGATTTAACATAGAATATCGAGTCAGGCAACGGCCTCTGGCACTTTGTTTATCAAGTTCACTCACCGTTGTGGTCAGGCACACACTCTCCTGGCAGATGCCACAGCAGCCGATAATAGACGATGCAAACAGAACCCCGCCAATGACATACAGATAGATAATATATGCAGTCGGCGCCTGGCTCAGACTCAGCGTGGCAATACCTATTATCAACAGGCCAAAGAGCTGTACATTTATATAAAAGAGATAATTGATAATTATAGAAGTTCAGATTAATTTGCATATTTTGTGGCACATCCAGGTTATCTTAACTTGAAATAAAATGGATTTTTTTTTTTTGGAGAGTAAAAACAACGAGCGCAAGTTAGCTTCTGGATGACCAAGATTGAATACATTAGCGAAATTTTTTCATACTTATATTAAAGTTAATTTACTAAAGATACTTTATGATATATTGACCCTATTTGAATCAGTTTATAGACTTTGGTAGAGGGTTTTTGAGTCTTTCAGACAAGAACTCTGTTTTAGATTATTTGATTGCATGAAAAGTCTATGATATAGTCTTTCCCTCCGATCAACTTCGGCATATGTACTGCAACAAATATTTACAATTAATATAAAGATACACTGGGTATACATAAAAACAGAGGGACGGATATGGCTATATGCACTCGGCAGCTATTGCTGATCAAGAATATATATATATACTTTATGCTGTGGATTCCTAAGATTCTTTACTATAGCCTGCAAGCTCTTATGCTTTATATATATATATATAGCTTTATTTATTGAAAAACATAAAACATCTCACAATATAAACATTTTATAACCCTTGGCTATAACATGTATCTTACATATATAAATAAGCGCTCACATTTGAGTATTTCCGCCTATTAAGTACACTGTCTAACCAAAAACCGGCTATAAATTCGGACAATTCGGATACAAAGTCGCACACACATTGCAAAATTCGAGGTGTCTATATATTATCTCACAGCTAGAAATATACGATTCATATACCCAAGATCTTGTCACTCGACGGATGAAAATTGAATTTCTTTGGCCAAACTTTTCTCTTTCTTTAACTTACCGCATAGAGCGTGTTGAGAATGTTGAGGAAACACTTAAAGCAACCGGAAGTACAGCCCATGCTGACAAACTAGATTCCAAATGTTGAATTAATTGGCGTATATGTATGTTGTATATATATATAAAATATACACAACCGATCGCATCGGCGGCAGCTGCCCGAATGATGCCAGACACATAGGCATTGAATATATTTTGTTCTTCACGTTTTGAACAGTGTTGTCGAGTTGCTGGAATTGGAATTTGTTTTCTTATTGGTGCCGAAATTCAAACTGCGTACGTCGCGTGTTTATGTAGTTTTTTTTATTGGAAAACGGCAATTAAACTAATTTAATTGTTTAATTTGGCTCGAAGCGCGTTACAACTAACTAAATTGCACTACAAATATGCTGCGCTAGGTCTAATCCTCGTTAATGGGTGTCTCGTCGTCCTTGATCTTCAAGAGCTTGCGCGCCTTACCCATGAGAAATGCGAAGAGCATGCTTAAAAGCTGTAATAAATAATTGTTTAAATTAGCACTAAGTAAATATTTATTAGCCAACTTCACCTCCAGCACAAATATGGCAATGGCTGCGTAATAATTCACATCAGCCTGAAATTGCAAGCCCTGAATGGCCTTTGTGCCGCAGCCCTCCTGATAGATATGCCTGGACACAGTGCAATCGAAGGCATAACAGCAGCTGGCCGGCAAGGCGCCATGCTCCTTGGCCAAATAGTCCTGCGGCCCCTCCAGGCCACAGCAGCGGAACAGGCTGTGTATGGGCTGCATGGTGTCATTCTGATTTGTTTTTTCCGCAAACAAACGCTTAATGCGCTCCTCGAACCGCCACATTAGCTGGCTTTTCATGCTTGAGAAGATGATAAAGTAAATGACCAGCACAATGCTAGCCAAAATGCTGCAAATAATATACTGCAAGATGTATAAAACTTGAGTTAAGGGCAAACGATATGTGATCTATATATGGGCACTCACATAATTGGAGAACTTATAGGACTCCTTGAGGGCGACATAAAGTCCCAGGAAAGTGACAGCAAAAATAAGAGCGCCGCAGAGGGCAGACGAATAGCCACCGTAGACCGAAGCCGAAGAGCCCCAGGTCACAACACCGCACGAGAAGAAGAGTATATTAAAGCCCTGTTAGGAGAAAAAGAATATAAGTTATTAATATAATCGTGTAAGTCACGACAACAAGTAATCTCAATTAGTTTAACAGCAACAGCGCAGCAAAACATTACGGATACAGCACGAAGAAGGAATACAAAAATCGCTTGATATTGAAAAAAATAAAAGCAGACGCTGCATATGATAAAACGTTTACGAATACAGCACAAAGAAGAATTTTAAAATGGCATGAGATTGAATCAAATCCCTGTGCAGAAACATATGAGTAACAGTAAGAGGCAGTAAAACGTTTACGAATGCAGAGCACAAAGGAGAATTGAAGAAAAGCAAGAATATTTGCTTGGAAAGCATATTTGTGCAGCACAGTGAAAAGTTAATGAAGCAAACAAGACAAATTGAAATATCTTGTATTTTTATGAGAAACGAATACACGGTGCATTTGTAAATAGTGTCGGAAGACAGGCGGCATTTCGTTCAGTTTAAAAATATTACAGCTATAACTATGGGCATGAAATGCCGTGGGGCTCGGCGCGAACTGGCAATTATGCAAACATTTTGCCGCATTACGTATACCACATGTATGCCAAAACGAGATCGAAAGTAAACATTGATATAATTTAATAGCAATTGATGGCCAAGTGCTGGCAGCTGTTTATATCTCTGATAGCTACCATCAAGACAGCTTTGATGATAATATCGATTTTTATTTTTTCATGCATGTGCTGAAATATGTTTCGGTCGATATTTGGTGCAAACGGCCTGGTCAACGACTAGGTCAAAACTTACCGCAATTAGAATGCATGTTGTGAACAGCGCATATTTCCAGGGCGTTATCGAAAACGACTTCTCCATGATGCTCACCAACAAGACAACTATAAGGACAACAGAAACTAGCACAGTTTTAGACACAACCAAATGTATTCACGCATGTTAAAAACTTACAACCGATTTTTCACTAGCTGCAATTGAATAGAGGCCGTTTCCGCCTTTATGCGTTGTCTGTGACAATGACAGTGAACCCCGTGTCTATGCTGCGTTGGGGGGCAAGCATATTATTGACGCGCCGCCGATTGAGCCAAGTACGGACCCGGGTGCGTCATTTATGGCCCGAACGCTGGCAGTCGACTGACGGCTGACACGGTTTTAGCTTCAGTTTTAGTCGTCGCATTTGGCGCAGGCGCTTCAACTACTTATATACAGGGTGTCACATTGTAGGGTTTGTGCAAGAAATAAATATATTACAAAATATATTATAATTGAACTTAGGCTATTTTGGTAATTCGCTTCTGTGTCATTTTGCCATTAAGCAGTTGGCCAAAAGCAATCAAATGGACAAGTTGAGCATCGCAGTCGTCTGGCCCATAACATTGTGTATATGCCTGATAAATTTCGGCTATGTGCAGGCAAGTATTCAACGTGATTTATTTATTCAGAACATGTTTGTTATTTAGGCCACATTTAGGGCAGTTTTCTGAGATTCACGAACATTACATGCGAGAGCAAAGATCTGAGCACGAGCTCAATAGAGTATTGCTATGTCGGGCACTTGGATCGTCTGAGAAACTATATGAGTGTGCGCTATAAGCTGGTTCAGCCTTTACAAAAGGACTTTTTCGTAAGTATCTAGCGGATAAACCAAACTGAACTTTGTTTTAAGCATTTCGATTGCTGAAGTTCCGTTTCAGGTTGATGATCAGGAATCGCAACAGCTGGCAGCCGTTTCTATATGCCATCGATATAGACTTGTGTCGTTTCTGGAAAACACGCTATAATGGCTTAGCCAAAATGTTGTATGGCTTAATTGAGGGTCACACCAACCTGAACCACACCTGCCCCTACTTGGTAAGACTTAAAGATCCTGTGACGTATATATTGCAACATATTAGTGTCCTGTTTTCAGAAGGAAAAGTATGTGACTATAGACAGAGTGCTCAACACGGATATATCTAAGAAAATACGCGGCTTGCCGCTGGGTAAAGGACACTATGCGGTCTTTACCAGCTGGTCCTGGAAAAATACAACACGAGCCATTACAAATATTTACTTGGAGGTCTTGAATGACTAACCAGTTAAGTATATTGTTAGGCTTATTTAGATTGAACAATTAAAAATAAATTACAATTGAAATCAAATAATTTTTTGCGCTAATTATACCCTGTAGTTAGTGCAAGTGGACAATGATAAACTAGAGTGCGAAATCAATTCAATTCTGCAGCCCAAATCTAATTATGCGTTTGATTAGCAGCAAAACCTATCTATAGGAAAACAAAGGGCCGACTCTTTTATAATATTTATTATAATTCTCTTATTTTCTGAGTCTAACGAAGCGATATTTCTCTGAGTGTAGCTGTTAGATACCAAATTTGACATATTGCCAATAATATTCGCTTATAATCTTAAATAGAAAGACAAAGAGGAAAATATTTTCTTAAATTAAAATAAAATAAATCTGTTTTTTTTTTTCTATGATTTTAAAATACAGGGCATCGGCTGGTCGTGCACATTCAGCCAGAACATAATTACATGTTGATGCTTATTTCAATATGATCTTGCCAATCAAATTGTTTGCATAAACATTCGCCTATTAACAATCAAATGGACAAGTCGAGCATTAAATATTTATGGCTAATACCCTTGTGTATATGCCTGCTAAATGTCGGCCATGCAAATGTAAGTAACTCGAATATAAATTTAAAAACAAGCTGCTTATAAACAAAATTAAGGCAATCTTTATTAAATTCACAAACATTACCTGCGAGAGCAAATATACAAATTTGGCCACTGTGGAATACTGCTTCATCGGGCAGGTGGATCAACTGACAAACTATATGAGTCTGCGCTACAATATCTTCGAGCCGATCAAAAAACAGCTCTTCGTAAGTATTGCAAAAAGAACTAATTGAAATTAAAGCAAATTTTATGCGCGAAACGCAGTTTCATTTCAGATTGATGATCAGAAGGAATGGCTGGAAGCCATATCTTTATGCATCGGACATAGATATGTGTCGTTTCTGGAAATCGCGCTATAATGCCCTGGCCAAGCTCCTGTTGGGATTTTTGGATGGGCGCACAAACATGAATCACAGCTGCCCCTATGTGAGACTAGAGTGCATAGTTCGCTTACAAATTCAAATTAAATTCACATTCAATACTTTGCAGAATGAGAACTACATTTATATTGATAAGGTCATGAATACAGATATATCGAAGAGGCTGCCGGCTCTGCCCCTGAGCAAAGGGCATTACGCGCTTTTCACCAGATGGTCATGGATGAATGTGACACGCACGTTGTCGAATATCTATATTGAGGTTACAAATGATTAGGCAGTTGATTATATGTATATACATATATAGTAAAAATTGTGGCTTTAATATTGAAACAATTAAATATTAGTGTAGTTTTGAATTAAAATAATACTTAAGGCTTAAGGTTAGACTTTGATTACATCCAGACGGCATTGTTGCGACGATCTTGGTTCTTCAGGCCCGTTAAAAGCAACCAGCCCAAGGCGGCGCCAATTGCCTGAAAGAGTTCAAAGTTTAGTTTAATTCTAGAGTTCTCAATAATTAGTTAATTACCTCGCCCACGATGAGCAGCCAGCAGACGATCTTGAATATCAACAGCCTGTCATCCAGATACTCCACAAACTGTGACTTGCAGCCCACATTGTATACTTGGCTTGGATTCGTACACTTGAGCTCGGGACAACAGCTCCGGGGCACAGCATGATTTATGACCGCATAGTCCTCGGAGCCATTGACGCCGCAACAGTGCAGCCAGGATTCGTAATAGGCCAAGGCGCCGGTCTCATTGCGTTCGGCGTCCCACAGCTGCTCGAAGCCCTCGTTAATGCTGCCCGAGATGCCATCCTTGGTGCCATGCGAGACCATGCTCAGGAATAGCAGCTGTATGAGGATCAGCACCACAATCGAGACGACATACTGTACAATGAGGATTCAGATTAAGTTCAAGTATTTGAGGCTGGAGTCAGTGGCACCTACAAAGAGCAGACGCCTGGGCGACTCGTGTGCTGCCGCCAGGCAGCCAAAGACGGCAATGATGACTATGACGACGCCCAGGCCAATGATTAGGCCGCCAGCCACATTCTCGCCAATGCTCACCGAGGTTACATATGCCCTAGAAAGACGAAAAACAGGTAAGTTTCGATTATATATAAATAAACTGTATGGTATAGCCCGGCCTTGTCCGTTGTATAAAATAAGTAAGCAATGAGGAAACCCTCGTTGAAATCGAATGAGACAATTTTGACATATGTCTAGATCGGATATTTGAGAGTACTATTTTCACATGAATTTGGACCAAAAATAATGTTGTCATGAATGAATGCCAAATTGATCTAGAGGCCAAATCATGCACAAAAACCCAAACCTTATGAAAATCTGTTGACTTTTGACCAAGTTATGGAAATGGGAAATTTCGACCTATATAGGATAATAGCGGGTATACCCTGGTCTTGCCATGGCACTTATAGAATAAATTCTCTCTTTGAAATAAGTTTTAAGCCGATCGTATTGTAAACAAAAAAACTCTAACGAATCTGTTTCCCACCAATTTAACATGGTTGCAGTTCTTCCAGCCATGCTGGAAAACCAATGTCAACTGTCGGAAAATGCACTGTGAAAACCTTTTTGTATTGCATTCAAACGACGTTGAACTTCAATTATGGAAAAATAGTTAAATACATGTTCTGGAGAATTCAGCCCAGAAGCAAAAAGAAATATATAAAATATATATTTTAGATAGGGAAAACTGCGCTGCAGTATGCTGAATACTTGCCAGTTGTATATAAAATGACTTACAGAAAGAAAATGCCAAAACCAATCAGCAGCAAGCCGAGCACCTGCAAATAAATAGAAACAGGTGCGCAACAGCGATGTTACTGATTATATTTTTTCTCAATGGCCACTTTTACACACCGCATACACAAAGTTTAGCAGCAGCAGCAGATGCTTCACTGTAGTCTCCGACAGGCCCATCTTGCTGTTGTTGTTGTTGTTGTTAATGTTGTTGTTGTTGTTGCAGCTAGCAAAGATGCTGACAAGACGTGCGACAGCTGTCGCCCTGGCTAACCGACTAAACGACTAACCGACTGGCTGACTAGTCAGACTGGACCTTGCGATTGTTGGCTATTTAAATCAGCGATACCGCGCCGAATGCATTGGGTGAGTATTACGTATATGGCAGTAGCCAGTTTTTTTTTTTTTTTTTGGGATAGTACGTATAGTATGTGTATCCGTCGGATACAAAATCACTGAAATCTCTGCTGGCTGACCGCTGCCTTTCAGTGCCGTGAAACAACTGAAACTTGCTGTGTGTTTTTATTTTGGTTTTTTTTTTTTGTTTCTTTCTGAAAATGCGAGTAGTACAGTATATATTCTATACAAATGTTTTCACTCAGCCATTGATCTAAGTATAACAGCGAGAAAATCGAGAGACGTTCGAGACGCCCACATGGCTGCTCTTATTGGGAAAGGCGAAGGCGCTTCTCTGTGTGTGTGTATGTGTGTTTGAGTGTGTCTGTGTGTGTATGTGTGTTTGAGTTTGTCTGTGTGTGTATCTGTGTTTTTCCATTTTATCTCTTGACATGCTCGTTGAGGCTTGTTATTATTGCTGTTTCCATCAAAGTTGAATCCTACTCATTTTCAGATTCTTTTTTGTATTTTTGCTGCGTTTATTTTATTTTTGTTGGCAGTCAACAAGAAATTAGTCAATAGCAACAGGTTTTATTATGGGTTTTTATTGTTTTTGTAGTATTTTATTATTTTTTTCTTCTGACGTGGGAGTTGGTTCACAACGCAGCAAACATTGTATTTATTGATTCGATGCGCTGGCATTGATATTTTTATCAATGAATATAGTAAAATATGTGTTTTTTTTTTTTTTTGCTGTACTAAATTACAAATCACAATGGCACAAAACTAACTAAGCATAATAATAATACAGTTACAGAGCGACAATAATCAACAATTAAAGCTTAATTATAGAAACGCACGCGATCGCGATGATTTCGTATGCTATCCACCAAATAGCAGGTGGCCACCGAGCCCATAAACTGCAGGTGAAAAAGATAATAAATGAAAAACAAAATAATTAATTTGCTGTTGGAGAAATAATTTGTCATTTTGTATTAAAGGTATTCAGTGCATAGTTAAGGATATTTTTTATGAATCTAATGAGAATCAGACACGTATCCAATCAGACAAGTATCAATAGGTAGGACGAGTAACATATGTACAAGATTATGAGTATTTTGAGTAGCATGTGTCTAACAGTTTAAGTATTATGAGTATCATGCTATTAACATTATGAGTATTTCGAATATTATAGAAAACAGCATGAGTAAAATGAGTATCTCGAGTTAATTGTAATGCATATTAGGCGTAATACACACCTCAGTCAGTATTAAAAACCAGCTGATTGTATGAAAATTGGCTGTTTTCTTGCTGACATATTGTTTAAACTTGATCTCACAGCCTTCCATGAACAGATTCAAGGGATTCGTGCAGTCACGCTCAAAGCAACAGCTGGCAGGCAGTTCCCGCTCCAGCAGAATGTAATCCTCGGCGCTGTTGCGACCACAGCAATGCAGCTATTAGTTAATAAAGAAACCAATTAGAACATGTCTGGGGTAAACCATTTCCATATACTCACCCACTCCTCGTAGATGCTCAGTGTGTTATTGTGCCTGTGATACACATCCCAGAGCTCGTCGAAACCCTGTTTCAAACTGTTTGGCAAGGCATCTCTGCTCGCCGCAAAGCTAATGCTAAACATGACAAACTGTATGACCAACAGCAGTATTAATAAGACTGCATACTGTTCAAAAAATAATATATACATTTACTGAATGCCATTTCACATTTAAAAATTTACGCACACTTATCAGCATCTTTTTGCACTCCTTGACCAGGGCCACAGTGCCGAATATGCTGGCCAGTATAACGACAATGCCCAACAGAATGCAGAGTATTGAAGCCAGTTTCTCGCCATGATCAACAGCATTTCGTTGCTCGGCAATGCTGTCCAGCAGCCAGGTGCCATACCAGATGAGCAGACAGCCGTTAAGCTATTTAAGGGATGGGTATGTAAATTAACTTGGGAATACATTTGGTCAATGTCACAGCAAAATCAACAGATTGCAAAATGCTACGATTTATTTTTGGGTGCTTAACACATTTCACTTTTCCATAAAACCCGAGATATTCCGAATAACGAATTTGAAAATTCTCTAATGTGTAGGCAAATATTAAGTTAAATTTCAAGCAAATCAACACTGTAAGATTTTCCATCACAATTCTCAAACGGCAAGCATTTCTTTAAGGTATCTGCTCCGGGTTCCTTCATATTCCATAAAAAAAACTGTGAACATCGTTTGCCAACACTGTAAATCATTTTGATCGAGTTCGCCAACGCAGAAAAATATTGTTGAATGTTTGCTCAAGATGCTGCTCCGAGTTACGAAATCGTTATTCTGAACGGCTACGAAATTGTTTACTTTTTCATTTTACGCTATAAAACATAGCTCAATTTCAGGCAAATCTTGATTTGGAACACCGTTTGTCAACACTATAAGCCATTTCGATCAGAATCCACAGAAGCTTTAATGTCGCTCATTAGTTTTTTCCGAGTTACAAACTTGACTTAGAATAATGTCTACGAACTGGTCTACTATTTTCTGTTCCGCAAACAACAAAGTTTCAGGCAAATCTTGATTGTGAACACCGTTTGTCAACACTGTCAACCTATTGAAATTCCGCAAAACCCCAAAAATAATTTTGCTTTTAAGTCGTTTTGTTTTGTAGCTTTGGCTTTTGGTAATTGGGAACAGGGCTGATTGTTAAACTTACAGCATAAATCACATTGATGACACACAGTATGTAACGTAGCAGGCGCGTGGTGCAGTACATTTTGAGTTTGGACGTGGCCACTAATAAAACATGACACACACGGCGAAACGCTCACTTATAATTAGCTGTGCTTAACGTTTCACGCGCTAAAATTTAACAAAATGAGAAAACCAAAAAAAAAAAAAAAAAACTAGACAAAATATTGTTCGAAACACTTTGTTTTGTGCGGCACACCTTGAGCAGCGGCAATGGTCGCACGGCAAATACTCGGAGCCGACTCATAATCTGAATTTGTTTGGCCGCATCTGGCGATGTCGCTGGCAGTCGAACGATTAACCCACAGTTCTTGTCGCCAGTCGTCAGACGGCAATGCAATAGACAAAAAGAAACCAAATATACAAAGACCCACAGAGAATTGTCGTCTATATCTATAAACATAAAGTCAATATCAAAAGAAAACTCAGCCAAACACATATGATGAAAATTAGCGTAAGGCGCCCACGTTCTAAAAGATGAATACACAGATACAGATACGGCTAGCTGTAGCTACAGATACAGATACAGATACAGATACATTTATAGATATGCATGCGGATGCCAGAAGACTGACTAACGGAAACTGCGGGCTGCCAGCACGGGGCCCAACTGTTTGGCCAGAGGCAATGATGTCAACAAACCAAATTTGAGCTAAGAACCAAATGCTGCGACTATTTTAGCATTGAAATTGCCCTTCAATGCAGCGGGTGGTCAACAGGTTCGGGCACATAAATATTAAGCTCAGCAGATCTCACAATTCTATATACCCTATAGACGGGAAAAATGGGACTGTGGCAGGTAAACAACAGAAAACAAACTTGACTCTATTCGACAAAATGCAGCTCACAAATAGTTTGAACCAGCTCGTGGTTCCATTTCAATTTGAACACAATTTGAACCAGCTTTTGGCTCAACTCTTAAGTTCTATTTTGATTACATTTTTAAAAACTCTCCAATTTTTTATTTACAATTGCCCCCCTGTACCGAAAATATAGTATACGCTACGTATTTTCATATACAAAATGGGGGCTATATTTGATTTCCGCCCAAAATTGCCAGATAATCCAAATATGGTTAGATAAATCCAATGGTTGGGACCCGAGTTATTTATGCCTGTGAGGCAAAAAAGCTTTTTCGTTTAAAATAAAAAAAGTTTTAACACTTCAGTTCAGCTCTTAAAGTAAAGTTCGTTTTAATAAATCTAAATCGGAATTCCGGGCTCATATCGATTCGATTAAAAATCTTGTCTATGCATTTTTAAGGATAAACCTTTGACCTGTTGTAAACATCATAAGCATAGAATCAAAAAACTTGCAGTGTTTTATAAAGTGATTACAGGGTGTATGCTAGTTGTTTATACTCTACATTTTTACATAATTGTCTCTCGTTTTTGACAAACACTTTGTTGCTTTTGATTTAGTAGGTATTTATTGAAATTAATACAAAATCGACACATTCTATTTTATTGCTTGAAATGTTACAAATTACTTATCGTAGGCACTGTGTAGCGCTTTTAGTGAAAATCAAAGAGAATGAAACATTTGTGACAAACTTATACAAATAAAAACATGCATATAAATATTTTACGATATATATGTATATCAATATAGATATATATATATATATAGACATCGAAATCGGCTTGAACACTGCTTTTGGCACCTGTTGTTGAGCTCTTGAAACGGAATCGTTTATTTTCTTCTATCTTTTTCTTGATTGGATGAACATGAGGTAGACTAGCAAACGCCGCAATATTTAGACTGGAAATTCGATTGCTTAGTGTATGTGTAGTTTAGTGCTGTGTAGTACAGTGTAAGTATTTGCACAGTATTGAGAATTCTTTGGCCTTGAGTATGCGCATTTTGAAGTGTGCTGAATACATGTTCAATTATTTTGGAAAATATTTGGAGCGTCTCCAGCGATTCACAATGCTGTGGGCCAGCACATAGGCGAGCAGTGCGCAAATGATCTGGAACAGAAACGAGTGCAACAAATTAATTCAAATTGAGCAAAGCAACAGATTTATGATTTCCACAAACACACACACACACCTCGACGCCAACCAGAACCAGCGCAAATATATTGAATGCTGTCCAGCGTTCGGCAATGTAGTCCAAAAACTTTTGGCGACAGCCCTCCATGTTCAGTTTGTTCGTATTGCTATTGTAGCAGCTATTTGGGGGCAGCAAATAGTCCTTATAGCTGACATTGCCGCAACAGTCGAGCTATCAAAAGAGACATTAGTTGAAGTCTTCAGTTTGTTTATGTAGTACACACCCAACGTTCGATGCTCGCGATTTGGCTGACATTGCCGGGTTTGACAGGCACCGGCTGATCGTGCCACAGCTGATCGAAGGTCTTGTCCACATTGATCAGCAGCGATGTTTGGAACAGCCAAAAGAAGCCCACTGTTAGCACTTGCAGAATGATCAGCACAACCACAATGGCCACAAACTTAAAGTGCAACAATAATAGATTAATATATGCTCTCGGTCAAAAGACAAACCGACTCACCGACTTTGACATGCGACTGCTCTCACGTACAGCGCCCAGGGTGCCAAAGAGGGAAGCCAGCACTATGATGATGCCAGAGACGAAGATGACGAAAGCGGCTGTATCGAAATGCTCGAATTTGAAGAATATATGCACGCCCAGAGCAATGACAATCAGACCAAACAGCTGCAAGACGAAAATATTTAAATAAATTAGTTAAGATATGGCTTATAGTCAAAGTGTGATCAATTTTATAGAGTACAGCATGTGTCTAGCATTTAATGAGTCGGTTTTATTGAGCTATGCTGACAACTTAATAATATTAAGGCTTTAACTAATGAAAATTTGTCAGACGCGGCGTATACTTAATATGCAAATGCATCAACTAAGCGGCTTATTACTCATACGCAGCGTATTCAGTCACATGTAAACACACTTTGTAGCTGCTGAGTTTTGAGCACAGGCAACCAGTTAACCTTTATATATACAGTAAATATAGCATCAGCAGATTTCAAGCATTTTTAGCTTGCATCACGCATACGCAACGTATTCGCGCGCGCATTGCATTTAGCTTTAGCCTTTCACTAATTTTTTTGTTGACTTTCGCCTGCACAATTAGCTCAAATTTGCTGCAATTGCATTTTGAATTTTCAACAATGATTCACGTTTTCGAGAACATTTCACACTAGTCCGCGAATGTAAACACTTTTCGCATTTGGCACTTGGCACACTTGGCAAACGTTGTGTTTTGTTAGTATTGTATTTGCACTATCGGCAATCGGCACATACACTCAAAATACTTTAATAAATGCGCAATAATTATTTATACATTGTTTTTCCTGCATTCATGGTTTGTTCAATGTTTACAAACGACAATCTGTTGGCAACACAATTGCGAATAATAATTACAATTGTAAGAAACCAGTTAAAAGTCCAAACAAATGTCGCTGTTGACACCTGTCAACAGAGATGGACGCGTGACACGAACACGAGCCGATAGGCAGCATGATTCGTGTGTGTCTAAAGTCAAAGAAGGGCCCCTTTCTATGCGCTTCTCATTAATTCAAGTAATGTTTACTAACTTTAATGTTTTTAGTAAATTGGTGACTTAATAAGAGTAAGAGAAGAAAGGTGAAAGCGAGTAACACAGAGACACAGAGAGAGGGGGTGGGTGGATGGGGGAAACAGTGAAAGAAAGAGGCAAAGCCAGACGAGGGATAGGGGGACACAGATATAGAAAGAGAAAGAGAGAGAGAGAGAGAAAATATAATAGCGAGAACGACTCTCACACTTTCTCACTTTCAATCATCCGTATCTTAGCCCTTCTTAAATACCGCTCTTCTATGCGATTCTCAAGAACTTCAATAATGCTAACTGCGTTTAGCATTCGATTGTTTTAGTCTAAGTCTTTAAGCCTCTGTTGAAGTGCACGTGCTTCTTCTGTCACGACACGAGCCCAACTCAACGTGGCGCAGTGCCAAACTTCCGCTAAATATTTGACTTGACAGCCAGTTTGGATGTCACGTTAAGTAGCCCCCCAATGGCTTTCAGATTTTCTAAAGCCTTAGCCCACAATTGGTGAGCGCAACGCGGTAATTATGACTGATTTGTGCGATTTATCATGTTGACTTAATGTTTGTATATATTTTTTTTTGTTTCTTTTTTTTTGGGTTTGTCTAGCGCAAACACATTTGGCATTTGCTGTAATTTGTAGCCATAACTGGTTGCGATGTCTTCATAAATTCAAAGTTTATCTGCGCACAGCTGCGCCTTTTAAGGCTTCATAGTGTAATTGAATAAAGGTCGATGATTAATAAATAGCTCGACAATATTAGCTGCCCGCCGCGCCCTCTCCGATGAATAACAATTATGCAAATTAACAAATGGCTTAGTACCAGACAATTTCAATTGCCTTCGCTTAACAAAACGCATGTAAATAAAAACCGCAACTAAATATGGCCAAGAAAATGTTATAGCCACATAATATTAATAGACTGGTAAAAGCAATTTGTATGCCACAAGTCTGCTCGTTTTTTCTGTCTCTTTCTCTAATGATGTAGACATAAATTAAAGTCTGATAAAGTGTTTACAGCACGCCGTAGATAACAGCTCGACAGAAAGAACATCATTTAATTTTAAGCCTTTTTTGGGGCATCTGGCATTATGTCTAGATACAACGCCATTTAATTGTTATTTATTACGCATGGCGCCCAATTTTTCTTAAGGGCTGGTGCTGACATAACACTCGCGTCTCTGGTATGGGCGTCAAGTCGAGCACAGCCCATAGAATCAAAGTGGCAATGGCAATGAATCCATGAGCACGTCATGCCTGCCACATGAATCAGACCCAATCTTTGGCATGCCTCAACTCAATTGTGCTCTGCCAGCTTTTAACTTACTTAAGTACTCTCACATTTAAGGCATAAACAAACATTGGCTAACTACAGACTAAAATGTCACATGTGTTATCTCCACTAATTAGCACTGATAACAGGCAAAAGTCTTGCACAGCAACAGCAAATACAAATACAAAAAAAAATAACAATTCGAATTAACATAGTATAATGTCTGCACTATTATTAGAAAAGCTAGATAAGTTAAGACATCAAATATATGATGTACGTGCTCAAAAATTATTTATTTTAGATAAGCAAGGTTGATAAAATTATGTTTTGGATATGCAAATAATATGTACTTAAAATATAACTTTTATCAGATAAAGCTTGACAAAGCCATATTTTTGACAAAGTGAGATTGTTTTTATTCGATAAGCTTTATAGACTGACAGAAGTTAATTTATGATGACGATATATATGCACATTGCA